GTACACGAGTGAAATCTTCGGGCACAGAGGCTGTCGGGTTGTAATGCACCACCTGGGGTTTCTCGAGCCCGATCTATGACATCCAAGACGGTCGCTGTCCGATTACGCGATCCACTATAGACAAGACTGGGTACCATATCAAGGTCTGCTACCTCCTTACTAGAGAGAAAGACCTTGATCAAATCTAGCGATGAGGCAAGAGAATTCGCCATTGGGAATCGGAGGATACGTATTTCCGGTCGAGTTAACTCGCCTCGCAATATGTCTACTGTTGCGTCTGTCAGTTTGAGGCTCACCTTGATAGCTTCTACCGCCACCGGCCGACAAGTGGCTGACAAGAGTAACAGAGGTTTATCGTTCCGAAACAGAAGCTGGGGCCCGAGTTTGCCATAAGATGGTCGAAAGATTGAATAGTCTTCATGCCGGAAATGTGCAGAAGTTGAGGTCTTGGATGTAGAGCCTTCTACCAGGCCCCATATGTAAATCATATGGGCCTCATCGACCACAATCAGAGCGAGACGGTTCTGGAATCTTGAACTGTAGTATAGCTTCCGGAAGAGCTTGCTGTTTAGAAAAATCTCAGGACTAAGATAAACAAACTGATAGACCCCGTTGCTGATCTCCTCGGCCGTTTTTCGGTTGAAGGTCAGCTTGGTTAAGTTGATCGCAGAGAAGCCCGCCTGTTTCTTCTCAAGAACTTGATTTTCTCCCAGAGAGTCTAAGGGATTCAACACAACCACAACACCTCTTGAATTCTGAGGAATCATCTTCATGTACAATTCGGCAATGCGTGACTTTCCGAATCCAGTCCCAGCCAACAAGAACGTGTTGCGACCTTGAACGAGGTTGAACACAGCATCGACTTGCAGATCCTTTGCACACTGGCCGTAGCTTTTGAGGGATGTTTCGGCAATATGTGCCTTCAATTTTTCATCGGTCATCTTGTAAACTTCCTGATAGATGTTGATGCCAGTAGGTGTCCATATCCTCTTCCTTGTCGGGTCAATCTTCGGTCTTTTAGGAACAGTTGGCACCTTCGGCCTTTGGGGGATAGCGGTTCTCTTAGGCTTTCTTGTGGTCGAGGTCATCTTTGGCCTCCTGGCAGTATGCGGTTTGATCATGATTGTTTCACACTTGATAAGATTAAAGAAATCGTCCTTGAGAGAAAGTTCAAAGGACCTGGCAACCATGCAGGATATTATAGTGTCATATTACTCCCATTATAATTCCTCCAACACGCAGATGTTTGGAGCTGTACAAATTGAACAGCTTGTTCAATAAACAAGTTGGTGTTTCTGTACTGAGCTAGTATGACAGTATTATGGCTATCCGTCATTTCCACAAATGACTCGAGTCGCTTGCTAGATAGCAAAAGATGAACGATCTGTTGGAGCGATCGATCCATGAAAGGAGGCCGAGAAAGCCAAGATCCTTGCGCATCAAACAATCCTCATCATGTGTCTCTCCGCCTACTCGTTTGGGAGAAATCAGGCAATCCACCCACAAATGCCGAAAAAGCCACACCATTCGAGCAGCTCACCAGCCCAAGTTTCCGCTTCGCTGGCAAGCCCCTCTTTCAGAGGCTCGCTTCGCGAGGTGCCTCCGGCACGCCGGGGTCCCCCCGTCCCTCTGGAACGAGGGGATTGTGCTAAGCTAGCGCGGTCCCAGGTCTGCTGGGAGCCTGGGATCGCGCCAGATCCTCCGTACGCCACTTGAAACTATTTGGGAGGCGCCTTGCTGCCACTAGCGTCCGGACACTTTTCAGCGTCGCGTCAATGACTCTTCATCAAGTCATCTAGGGCCACACATATTTGGCTAGGAACAGGCTGGATCTAAAAGTGTTTGGTAAATGTCCAAAAGATTGCGCTGTCTGTCTTCGCTTAATGTGTGAACGTAGGGAAACGGTTCGGATGAACCTCTTGGCTGCGGTAGAAAAATATTATACTGATATCACTAGTGGCATCTCAGCATTGTGCTTTTTGAAGTGATTATGGAGTATGTCGGGAAAGTGAGCCCGGTGAAGACAATATTCATGCATCATGAAGGGCAGTCAGACCGCATTCTAATCGCTGCACCTTCTTCAAAACAGCCAAGCCAGACTGGCGGTGCTCACTTAATCAAGTTCAAACATCAACTCAGGGTCAGGGTTATTAAGGATGAAAGAAAACAATAAATTTCAAGGATCATATTGGGCATATAAGAGTACAAAATTTTGGGCATAGGAAAGGGAAGGGAAGGGGAGAAAAGAAATCAAAACCAGGATCAATCTGTGAAAGTTCACAGTCAGCTCTCTCTCTCTTCCTGAAAGTATGCATAGATGGACAGTAGAGAGCACAGAAAACTTACTTTTCAATTTCTTTTTGTTGACTTTCTGCTTCCTCGCATTCCATCCCGAATGGCCCTGACGCGGGCGTAAGGATCGATTCGGTCATCGATTGGGTCACTTGGCTTCTCTGGCCGGGGTCTTCTGGCTTGGCTAGATGTTGTCATTCTGCTACCGCGCATGCCCTCTCGGATGGCCCTGACGCGGGCGTAAGGATCAATTCGGTCATCGATTGGGTCACTTGGCTTCTCTGGCCGGGGTCGTCTGGCTTGGCTAGATGTTGACATTCTGCTACCTGGCAAGCGATCTCGCATGGCCCTGACGCGCGCGTAAGGATCGATTCGGTCACTTGGCTCCTCTTGCCGTGGTCTTTTGGCTTGGCTAGATGTTGACATTCTGCTGCCTGGCAAGCGATCTCGGATGGCCCTGACGCGCGCGTAAGGATCGATTCGGTCACTTGGCTCCTCTTGTCGTGGTCGTTTAGCTTGACTAGATGTTGACATTCTGCTACCTCGCATGCCCTCTCGGATGGCCCTGACGCGGGCGTAAGGATAGTCTCGGTCCCTTTTCCCCTCTGGCTGTGGTCGTTCGGCTTGCGTAGGTGCAAGCGGAGTTGGTAGCCGACGTTCCCTCCGGGTGAATTTCCCTTGAGAAGCTGCAGCCGGTCTGGAGAGGGTACCTCGTTGTGGCGAAGGTATCAAGTTCCCGCGGCCGATGAGGGTATAGGTCCTAGGGTGGCGACTTCCTCCAGGGTTGGCAGTAGGGAAGGACCGTAATTTGGCCGTCCAATCATCAAGAGCAGACTTCTTCGCCTCATCGTCGATGAAAGGGAGCCTTTCTCGTCTTCGCCTGTTGCGTAACGGAGGGGTGACAATCGACTGGTCGAGGGAGGAAGTTGTCGCTTGGTTCGGGGCAGGAGCTACTTGTTGAAGTGGCGAGATGCCGCATAAAGGAGATGGCGGCTGGTGGCGCTTGACTCTGGAGGCATTTATGCGGGCCCGACACCTATCTATAATATTTCCGCATAAAATTCAACCATTAGTGTTAGGATCATATCCCAATCTGAACAGCTGTGTTAGACTTGCATATTTCATCTTGATAATACATTTCGGCTGTTTCAGACGGTGAGGATCACTATCTACTGCAGGCGGTGGAGAAGAGCAAGTATGAATCAATGACAGTGATCGCTGGGGTGGTGTTCCTGGTAGGGGGGAGGAAGGATGAC